AGAGATGAAAGTAATTAGGAACCAAATCAGCCGTATCTGACTTAAGCAGCTATCCCTAACAATGCCCTTTACAAGCCAACAGCCATGCGGATCCTTCTAGATCTCAAGATACCCCTTGATCGCAGGGAATCCATGGGTGGGAAAAAAGTCATGATTACTTTAGAAGAGTTCTTTGGTTTTCACCTGTGATGCCTTGAAAGACAGACACGTGGCCCATTTCTAGTCTGGGAGACGTCTCTAGAATCCAGCTGGAGAAGAGCAATGAGACGTCCCCACGTAAACCCAGAGCAAAGCCGTAACGACAGCAACTCCTTCCTGAGATTGCTAGAGTGCTTCCAGGTAGAGCAATCATCGGGGCACCCAAGGGGAACGCAATTCGAGAGAACTTGGATTTCAACACTGGCGTCGCTCATTAACCTAATGAACGGGTGTCACAGCCTCTGACTTCTCAACTCTGGTGGGGGACAATTGGTCAACCCTACTACATTTCCTAGTGCTTGTAGAAAAACACATCTGAGAACACTACAGAACAGCGCCGCTGACTTAAGACAGCTGTATTTGGAATGGGGAGGAACGCGACGGAAAGTTCTGGGCCATTCCACGTTCCAGTTGAGTTCATGGTCTTTATTGTGTTAACGTTCACTGGTGGGATTGAGACAACACAGGATGATTCTTGTGGGGCATTTAGATCCTTTCAAACACCGGGTTAAAACCCGCCAGGCAGTCAAGCCTGTGGGTAACAGCACTCCCTTTTTGTGTGTATGTCTTGTTGGTGGTGGTTTTTTTTTTCTTTCCACAAATGTGTGGCCCTCTTTTCTTTTTTTCTCTCGCTACCTGACAAACTCTGTACCACTGAGATTGGCCTTTGAGCTATCTGTAGCAGAGCTCGTGGTAGAAGATAACATTATTTGAATATACAATCAGTCTATAATTAACCAGGGATGACAATTATAAATAACACTGTGTCCCAGAGTTTCCAAGAAACCTGACACACACAAGCACACAGATCTTGGGTAATGTTGAAACACTTCCAAGAAAAGTAAAAGAAGTGAAAAATCTTTTAGAAGTCTTCAATTAAAATGTGTTTCGGTAGAAATGACTTTGGGTGGTGTGCTTTGGTACATATCACTGCAATATTCCTCTCTGTCTTCACACCTTTAATTGTTTTCACTGGCCAATTACAGCTTTTCTGAATGAAGACCTTCTTGTTGGGGTAACCATAGTTGGCTTGTGTGCAATGTGAAGCAAAGCTAATGGGTACAGGGGTGATGTGTCCCAGAAAACACACCTTCCCTACAGGGTTCTAATCATCGGTGTCTCGGGTCATGCAATCTCTCATCTTTCCAGTGGGTATCTAGCACCCAGCTGGCTTGTTTCTCTTTCCCTCTCTCCCCAGCTCCTTTCCCATCTTCCTTTCTGCTTTTATCTCCCTCACGTTTTACTTTTCACATGCTTTATGGGTTTAGGAAGTTGGGCCTATTATTTCAGAGAGAAAAATGTTCCTTCTTCAGGGATCTAAATGGCATGAGAAAATGCCAGTGGAAGACATTAAAGGGAACTTATCGCACATTCTGTTTATGTCTTTCCTTGCGAACTAAGAAAGCAAAATGTCAAATGAATCACTGATCTTATGTACAGACTGGCCACAGATACAGATGAGAGGTCACAAAACTCAGATAAAAAGGCAGGTATTAGGAACATCACAGCACCATGTGCATAGTGGCGTCTGTTCAATTGGGGGAGCAAGAGCCTACCTTGCTTTTGCAAATGAACCAACAGTTGTCGTGAAAGATAACGGGACAGTTGCTGTCGTAGCCGAAAGCCTGGTCTGACATGCTGAGCTAGCTGGTGTTGGTACTCACAAATAAATAAGACATGATCTGCAGTCCAAAGAATCATGTGCTCTAAACTGAATGCTCAATGAAGGCAGAGACCCTATCTCCTTCTTCAAAACAAAAGACAACACTAGGATCTAGTGGCTCACGCCTGTAATCCTAGCCATTCAGGAGGCTGAGATCAAGGTTTAAAACCTAGCTCTGATGGGAAAATCTCTTGGGACTGGCGTCTCCAATTAGACACCAACAAGCTGGAGAGTTCTGACTCAAATGGTGGATCACCAGCCTTGAGTGGAAAAAGCCAAGCAAGAGTGTGAGGTCCTGAGTTCAAGCCCCAGTACGGGTTCCACTCCCCAGGCCACTCCCCCAAGAGAAAAACAAAATAAAGAAGCAAAACAAGACAAAAAGGCCCGTCGTCAACACATCCAGGCTCTAAATACTGACTAATCATTTCCTGAAAGATTTGGCCTTATCATTTCCTTCCTAGGGGCCATACACACACGAGATTAATCACTATAGATGCAACACTCGGACGTCCAGAGTGGCACTTGCTTCAAAGAGCTCCCGGGATCTCGATTGAGCCTCAGTGTCACAGACACTCCGCCCCGCTCTGTGAGAAGGTTTCCTTACAGGAGTTTGCCACAGTGCACCAGTGGCGGGGCTGCTTCATTTCCATCGTGTGAGATTCCTTTTCCCCACTTTAAACAAACGCATGCATCCGAAACTTTAACTGTGTCAAAAGTGCGTAGTGAAATCGATTCAGGAGCAGAGACATCTAAACTAGCCAGTAGGTATTTGCAGAGTGGAAACAGGCTATCTTGGAAAAGGGTTGTTTTAAGTTGTCGTAACTTTAAACAAAAACAACAAAGATATAAAAATAGGGAATGAGAGCAGTAGCTTTATTATGAGAGCCTGGTGCTCGACACACCTCCACTTCTGGGTTTTTTTTGCTGGTTCATTGGAAATAAGCATCTCACACACTCTGCCCTGGCTGGCTGCAAACCTTGATCCTCAGATGGCAGCCTCCAGAGGAGCTGGGATGACGGGCGTGAGCCCCCAGTTCCTGGCGTGGAACTGGTAACTTCCAGAAAAGTCAACTCTGCTCCTACAGCCCACGTAGGAGGTGCTAATCAGAGAAATCGCATAAAGTAAGACTGGGGAGGAGGGGACCAGGGAAGCGGAAACCGGGGTTCCTCCAACAATAGCTAAGAGTGGGGTACAGCAGAGGCAGATGGCTCCACTCCGGTTATTTAATCAAAAGGCAGTGCCGAGACACCGGAGCCCGCAGCGGCTTGTGTGAGAGCAAAGGCTGAAGTGCAGTCAAGAAGATTAACTCGTGGAGCTGTGGTGGAGAGCCCAGGATTATTTTATGTACTACCATTGCCGTACAAGACGTCAGCACAGTTATTGCCCTCCGACGTGAATGACTGATCTGTAAGCACCGCAAAACAGCAGGCTGCTGAGGGGTCTGGGAGCTTCATGGAGATGAATTTCCATACCATCAAAGCGCTTTTAACGGGCTCCCTGATCCAACCACAGGGCCCGTGTTACAACTACGTACCACGCTGGATGCAGGCTTTCTGTCCAAAAGGATTTGGTGGGTTGTCACTTGACAAATTCCCAGCCAGCACTAGGGGGGAGGAGAGGAAAGGGAGGAGGTGAGGGCAAAAAGGTAGAATGGTCTCTGCTTTGGAGGATTTAAAAAAAAGGGGGGGGGAAGGCGTACAGATGCTCGCTGAATTCAACCAACTGCTGTATCTCCACTGCGGAATTCAATGCCCTTAACAAATAACGGCGCGGGAGGAATAGCTCGAGTCACTTTGCATTTGCATCTGGTTGACTGTTAAACTCATTTCAACGTGGGGAGCACAGGAAAAAAAAAGGAATTTCTGTTTGAGCCACTCTTTCAAGAATGTTTAAGTATTTGAAGATAAATTCCTTTATGCTTACTATCATTCCTTCTTAGAGCGATCATCGCCTTTTGAGAACCCCCCCCCACACACACATACACACTCCGCCTCTCCTCTCTGGTGCTTAACTACTGGGTGGAGGGGTCACACCTGGCGTTGTACAGGGGGCTGCACCTTACAGGCGTCCTGGCTCATGCCTTAATTTTTTATTTCTTTACTTTTGTGTTGTTTGGTGTCCCCTCTTGAGTGAGCAGAATTAAACATGAATCTTCTCCATCCTCCATTTTTACCCACTGCTGCAAGGAGCAAAGGATCAGGTTAACTCTGACAGAATCTCCCTTCTAGTTTACCTGTGCTGTGCAGATTGCTCACTTCTTGGTGAGTTTGAATCAAATGCCGCACGGCACCCAGGGAAGTGGAAAGCTATCCAAATGAGCAATCTGCTCGTCCTGGCTCGGGTGTGGCTGGGAATGATGATCTTGTAAGTTACTGCTAAATACCTGATCCCGTCTTCCCCGTTTTCTTCTCTATCTTTAGGGTTAGCACGAAGGGGGATTTGCTGGCAACTTGTTCACTCAAAACACGTTACGTATGACCGACAGATGTGGGCCACTCCGATCCTTCTATAATAAGGTCGTGTTTTTTTTTTTTTTTTCCTGAATGAAACCCAGCGTTTACTTGAACACCACAGCTGGAACACCTGGCTTTTCTCAGACACTGCCAGAAGTTTCCCCCGGCTGTACGTCTCTGACATGTGTCAGTGCTTTCAAAAGCCCATTTGCTTAGGTGATCAGGCAGGAAGTTCCAGTGTGGCAGTTGCCTCATTCTTTGACAGTGGTCTGCCCCAGAAATATCACCATGGCTCAGGATTCTGCAGGGAGGGGGGGGTGTCATTCAGGCTTATGCTGATGACAGGAGATTTGGTATTTCCAAATCCCGCTCATCCCTAAACACGAGCCAGGCATCTCTGGGAGGCAAAACTTTCACGTAGCCTGGGATCTCTCCAGCGGCCCCTGCTTCCTACCACAAACCTGCGGCGCACGGGGAGGGGAGTTTGTTGTCAGTGGGGGAGGTGGCTGGATACAGGGAAGTACGCTGCTTCCTGTGGACAGATGGCCGGGATTACCAGGGAGAAGGAAACTCCTGCATGGGTGGAGGGAAAAGCAGGCGGACAGACGTACGGACACACAAGGCGAGCACCCAGGGACGGGGCGGGGGGGCGTCCCTAACCAGCCGGCCACTTTTAGGAACTAACCTTCTCCGTCCGGCAGTTGTTGAGGCCTAGGTTATTGACCACGGCCACCTTCCCGTCCAGCGCCTGCTGCTCGCGCCGAAGCTGCTCCTTCATTTGCCGCGCTTCTTGGATGGCCTTGGTGACGACGTCGTGGTCGTTTAAATAACCTGGGGATGGAGACAGATTGAGTGCACGCAGGTGTGTCGAGGGCCGGCTTTGACTCATAAGGGACTGCGGTGGGGAGGGGGCGCGGCCACTAGCCAGCATGTCCTCATTTCCTGCACGGCATTTGTCTGGCCTGAGCGAGTAACTGATCCTGGCGGAATCACCCGGTCGTCCAGGAGAGAAACCTAATGCCGAGAGAAGGGATGGTGGTTTCCAAATATTTAGGGAGATGCTTAACGTGTCACGTGAGGTAGCCATTTAGTCTAGAGTATCTTCCTCACTGGATGTTACCCCACAATCTCATTACATTCGTACTTACCGGTAGGCTGGGCGAGTCTCTTATGGTATTAGAAAGTTCAGTGTAAGAGTGGTGTGTATTGGGCTGGGAAGGTGGCTCAGTGGTAGAGTGCGCACCTAATGTGCACGAAGCCCTGGGTTCGATTCCTCAGTACCACATACACAGAAAAAGCTGGAAGTGGTGCTGGGGGTCAAGTGGTAGAGCTCTGGCCTGGAGCAAAAAGAAGTTCAGGGACAGCGCCCAGGCCCTGAGTTCAAGCCCCAGGACTGGCAAATAAATAAAATAAGTAAATAAATCAAAAGAGTTGTGTATAGCACTATTTAAGTGTGGTTTACAAAGAAGGCCTACATCGTGACTGACTGACTCCAAAGAAGAATTCCTCCCTCCCTCGGCCCACGTACCGTGGAAATAGAAACTACAGGTGGCAGTGGTTTGCTGTGAATGGAAACTTAAACTTAGAGCTGAGACTGGAACCAGGTATCCATAAGAAATGGTGGCTACTGTCAACGACAGCCACACTGAAATTCAGTGGGACCCTGGGGTCTGCAGCCACAGGAGCTGGGGACAGTCCAACAGAAGAGCACAACGCAACGTCACAGAAAGCCAAGCATCCCCCAAATACTCCACTGAGAGAGTCCCAGGGAGAAGGAGCGAAAGGAATGTTTTCCTTAGCTCAACTATGCTTTACGTTTGGACACCGGGTCATTTATTTATTTGCTGCGTATTGTGATAAGTAGTTGTGAGATGGGGGGGGGGAGCGGAGGGGCGATGTGAATGGCAAGTGATACGTTGTTTTTTTTTTTTTGCCAATATTGAAAGGCAAAACTAATAGCTGGTCTTTCTCTCCATCTTTTAACTGGGACATTAGATGGCATAAATGAATCTGTAATATGAAATTGCCCAGAAAAGGGACTTGTTTGTGACATGAGGCTAAATCTAACCAGATCCATTGGTGAATCGTGACAGATGGGAGACTGCGAGACAGAAGGCAGGCACTAATCACACATAAAATGACCGGCTTGCTTCAATGTGTTCCATGAATTCCAGCAAACTTTACACCCTAATCCATTTTTAGAACAAAAAACATCTGGGCCATAAATCCTCTAATCTGCCAAAACACGCTATTAAATCCCATGATTTGTTGAAAAACACCAAGATTAAAGAAAGGAAATATAAAATGGCTAACTGCTGTGTGAGGAAAGTGTTATTAATACTCTTTTCTTTTGTCTCAATTATGAATGTTGTGGTAGGAAAGAGCCTTGTCTAATCATGTCAGATTACACAGCCTGGGTGTCTTGCGAGCATTTTCTATCTGATCTGACGATTGCCAAAACACAGAACCACACACCCACACCCACCCACACACACACACACACACAACCACCCTAAAGTAGTTTCTTGCTGCTTGAACACTTCTGTGGAACACGCTGATGTAGGATTAGTGGGGTGTTTGGCGTGTTTCTTTCTAAAGTGACAGCCTCCTTCCCCCCTCTACCACGCCTCCTTTTAGGGGCCACCCAACCATCTTCTAGGGGCCAAAAGGAAGTAACAAGGTAGGTGACAGGAAAAGGGGAAATCGTGCGCGAGCTCTTGTGTGTTTTGACATTCTGCGCTAATGATCGTAATTCAGTCACAGAACCAACCACAGATCGTAAGGACAGGACCCTGTTGCTTTTTGTGACGGGCAGGGATGGCTTGGAAACCAGTCACTTATACATACCCGAGACTGATCGCTATGGCTAATATTTAGTGCAAAGGATGTGGGTAGGTGGCTTTCCAGTCGCTTCACACCTCCTGACTCCTTGATCGACTTTCTTAATAGATTCTATGGAAACTTACTTTAGTCTTTTCAGATTTCTAAAACGAAATAGAGTCCATCTAGGACAGAGCTGGCCTGAGATGCTTATATCATTCTTCCTCTCCTCTTCCCCACCCCACCCCCTCTCTCCCCTCCTCTCTCCTCCTTCCTCCTCCTTTGGTTAAGGTATTGGAGCTTGAGTTTTGGACCTGGGTGTTGTCCCTGAGCTTCTTTGTGCTCAAGGCTGGTGCTCTACTACTACAGCCACAGTTCCACATCAGGCTTTTTGCTGGTTCGTTGGAAGTGTGAGTCTTGCAGTTGTGTTTGCTTGAACTGACTTCAAACTGTGGTCATCCTATCTCAGCCTCTTAGTAGCTAGGATTAGAGGTGTGAGCCACTGGCGCCCAGCTGGGTCTTGCATTTTATAGCCTATTTAACCTCTCTGTTGTTTGTTTAAAGTTTCCAGAACATTCACCATGTGGAATAAAAGTATGAACTCTGTAAGCTTTTCAGGCTCTGCCCAGGTAACATTGTGAAGGCAAATGATGACTAGAGAGGCGAGAGAAATATTCATTTTCATTGTGGGTGATAATCCAAGCTCTGGCTGTTTCCAGTCTCTGATGTTCTGCTGGGGGTGGAGTCAGTGCCCATATCCTCAGATTTTGTTCATGTTAGACACCTTCAAGGTGTCAGCAATGATAGCATGGGAAATGGGAACATGTGTATCGGCTAGGCTAAGTCCTCAGGGCTTTGAGATATCAGTTCCCTCTTCAGAGGTGTGCTGGTTCTTTCTTTCCAGACTTGTCTCTGTGGTTTCTAGGCCCAGCTTACCCAGAATGCTTGAGTTCTCCCCTTCCCACTCCGGAAGGACATTGGTATCTCATCCCCATGGAGACGCCGTCCCTCCCTCCTTCCCAGCATCCTACAGTCCCTCTTCTCTCCTTCCTCACGCTGTCTTCATGGACCCGCTGGGTTCCATCCTTCGCCTGCCTCTTCGGTGTTTGGTTCAAGTTTTCAATCACAGGGAAGTGTGTGGGAGCTGGGCTCCGTGGTAAAAATCTTACACTTCCCAGCCATTTGAATTTCATAAGTCATGTTCCTCTTCTAAGTCTCACTGATTAAATGGGTATAACATTCACAACTTAATCAAATGTCACCAAGATTAGAGGGATCCATATGGTCTCCTGACACAATAAATTGTCCATCCCCGCGATGCACTCATTGTCGTTTTATTTGCAAAGTGGCAAACCCAGGAGAATTGAGAGACTGGATCTGGATGACGCTGCACTTCTGCTGGTTGGGGAAGGTGACATTTGAGAAATTGTAACACTTAATCTCTCTTAAGTTTCCATGTAACACTGAAGGGAGAATTAAATGAAATAACACATGTGGCAGAGTAGGGGAAACCTGGTCTTTGAGGATGTAAACACTGTTAACTGCTTTATTTTCTGAGATTTCATCCTCAGTTCTCTCTTTCTCTCTCTGTCTCTTTTGTCAGTCTTGGGGCTTGAACTCTGGGCCTGGGCACTGTCCCTGAGCTTTTCAGCTTGAGGCTAGTGCTCTACCACGTGAGCCACAGTGCCACTTCTGGATTTCTGGGGGTTAATTAGAGATAAGAGTCTTACGGATTTTTTCTGCCTGAGATGGTTTTGAACTGTGATCCTCAGATCTCAGCCTCCTGAGCGGCTAGTCAGTCCACCAGAGTGGAAAGGGGCCTCCATAGGGGTACTTTATATGTTTAATTCTGCCCTCGTCGTAAATTGAGGTGGTACTCTAAAGCAAAATTAGAAGGGAGGGTCCCTGGTTAGGCTACTGGTGTGTCTCCTAGGACAGAGATGAACTGTTAAAGGTCAATGTTACTGCTGGCTAATATTTCAAATGGGATTTGGAAAATTCAGGTGAGGAATCTCATAAGAAAATTGTGAGCTTTTGTAACTTTGCTAAATGGATAACAATTTGATTTTTTGGTTTATAGCTGATATAAAAAAATCCTCAAAGATTTTCCCTCTCTCCTTTTTCCTGTCCTCTCTTTTCCATCCTTATTGTTGTTTTTCTCTTCCTGCCCTTTCCTCTTTTTCTTCCTCCTTTTCTCCCTTCCCTTTTCTTTCCCTTCCTCCTTTTCTCCCTTCCCTTCTCTTTCCCTTCCTCCTTTTTCCATCTCTTGCCCTTCCTCTTCATTTCTCCTTCCTTCACTCCATCCTTCCTTTCCTCCCTTCCTTTCTTCTCTAAGTAAAATCATTGTACGTATTTTCAGAGGCGCAAAAGAAGAAATAGATTAGAAAACCCAACTGTAGAGAATATACACTGTAAAAGAAAATAATAATGGCTGGCGTACAAGAAAGAAAGATGAGAAAACTAAACTAACTATAGTAGCTTGAGCTGCCAATCTCCCAAAAGCCACATACAAATCCCAGTCCCCAGCATCTGTGCATGCCATCTTGGCTGGAAGTACAGGCTCAGAAAAAGTCATTAATTTGAACATCTTGGATGTAAGGTAAATCTGCAATCCAGTGGTTGGTGACCTCCATAAGAAGAATGCAACAGAGAGGTCTGACTCACAGAAAAAGGGGGAAGGTCCTGTGTGTGTGTGTGTGTGTGTGTGTGTGTGTGTGTGTGTGTGTGTGCGTGCGCACTGGAGCTTGGGTTCAGAACCAGGGGACTGTCCCTGAGCTGTTTTTGCTCAAGGCTAGTATCTTCAACTCGGGCCACAGTGCTGCTTCCAGCATTTTTGGTGGTTAACGGGAAATAAGTCTCTTGGATGTTCCTACCTAGGCTGCTTTGAGCCAACCATCTAGGATTACAGGTATGAGCTATGATGCCCAGCAATATGTATACAGTTTAAGTTGGGTAGTTCACGGTAAGCTGTGTGGCAATCCAAGGATGCCAATCAACTACCTCAGCTCTTA